TGGTGGTGTAGCTTCAATTGACTTATGATCTCAACTCTATAAAATTAAGTTATTATTTGTAGGAGAAGGAGAACATTACGAATGTAATCAAAATATATTAAACAAACATTGAGTTTTAAACTTATATAGTATATAAGATCACCCGTCGATATCGCTACCATAATATAAATTGACAAAATTTATTGAAATTCCTTTATAATTATTTTTTTTTAAAAGAAGCAACTGAACTCAGAGCTATCTATCATATATTACATATTTTAAGTATTGTGTGTGAATAATTCACTATGTTCATATTATTACCTCTATCAATCAGTCATTCAGTTTTGACATTATTTTTTACTGAATGTTTCATATGATTATTATTATTACTACTATTACTGTTATTGCCAAATAACAGTTTTCTATTCTTTTCTTAAAAAAAGAATTTCATTCAATTATAATCTCTCACTTTTATTTCATCTTTTTTTTGCAACTCCCACAATTATTGAAAAATAGTTCATTATTAACAATCTCAGCTGTTTTAACGGATACTATCAGCAACGGCGTTTTATGGGAGAGGACAAACCGGCTTCCAGCTGAATAGGAAATTAGGAAAAGACGTTGGAAGTGGATAGGACATACATTGAGGAAATCACCAATGTGCATTACAAGGCAATCCCTAACTTGGAATCCAGAAGGGAAGCGGAAAAGAGGAAGGCCAAAGAACACATTACGCCGGGAAATAGAAGCAGATATGAAAAGGACGAATGTTAACTGGAAAGGACTGGAAAGAATTGTTGGGGACAGAGTTGGATGGAGAATGATACTGAGCGGCCTATGCTCCTCCACGAGGGACAACAGGCGTAAGTAAGTGATTCGTTTTAAACAATTATGTTCAATATTCATTGTGATGATGATAATAATGATGTCGACTGACAATATTATTCCATAAAGTAAATACAAAATAATAGTAATAATAATTATGTTAATCATAATAAAAAGTTTCATTCAATATACAATACATTTTAAGAATTATGATTAACAGTAGAATTTACATTACTATTTTTCATTAAATAACTGTCAGGATCTTATTAAAACTCATTAATTTATATAAATTGATAAACGATAGTAAATTTTTCTCCCTTGTAATGTTTGTTAGTAAGAGATAAAGAAATAAAAAGGAGCGAAAATTAACAAAGAAAAAAACCTTTATTGTAAATATGAAATGGTTATACTTAAACAAAAAAATTCTCAACATTCAACTTAATTTCATTAATTTTGATAGTTGAGATCATGAATCAATTGAACCTAGACAACCATAGAAAACCCGGAAGCACTGAACGGCTGTTTCGTCCTATCATGGGACTCCTCAACGGTGCACATCCACGACCCCACCTCGCGAGATTTGAACTCAGAACCTATCAGTTTCGCACGTGAGCGCTTAATCTCTAAACAACTGAGATGGCAGGCACCCAATAGTGTTAATGCATAACTTCAACAAATCCACGAAATTGAGCAACACATCCACCAATGTCTTCATTAAGTTACTATCTCACAACATACCTGGTTCAACTCCACTAGTTATTGCTTCTCACAAGAACTCCAGGAAATACCTCATGGAGCCAGTCACTAGTAAGCATATGTTTAGTTTTTTTTTTAAAAGACTGTTCATCATATGAAATTTCGGTTTTTATCTATTCTTTTTTATTTTTATTTATTTCATGTATTATTCAAATATTTAGAACAGAATTATGTAAATGTCAACGATTATTTTTTCTTTATTTTAGATTTTTTTTATTTTTTTGTTGTTGATTAATTCTTTTAACTATTATTATTTTATCAGAAGGGGTTTTGTGGAGATTTTAGTATTTTATAGAGTTGAGATCATGAGTCAATTGAAGCTAGACTACCATGGAAAACCTGGAAGCACTGGACGGCCGTTTCGTCCTACTATGGGACTCCTCAGCAGTGCGCATCCACGAACCCACTCTCGCGGGATTCGAACCCAGGACCTACCAGTTTCGAGCCGAAGCCCTTAACCGATAGACCACTGAGCTGGCATCCAACGGTGTTAATTTCTAACTTCAACTGATTCACGAAATTGAGCAACCATTCACCAATGTCATCAGTGAGTTCCTATCTCACAACAGACCTGGTTGAACTCCACCGGTTACTGCTTCTCACTAGAACTCCAGGAAATACCTCAAGGAGTCAGTCACTAGTGAGCACCTGATTATTATCAGAAGGGGTTTTGTGGAGATTTTAGTATTTTATAGAGTTGAGATCATGAGCCGAAGCCCTTAACCGATAGACCACTGAGCTCGAAACTGGTAGGTCCTGGGTTCGAATCCCGCGAGAGTGGGTTCGTGGATGCGCACTGCTGAGGAGTCCCATAGTAGGACGAAACGGCCGTCCAGTGCTTCCAGGTTTTCCATGGTAGTCTAGCTTCAATTGACTCATGATCTCAACTCTATATTATTATTTTAATTGAATATTATCTAATTTTTATATATTTAATTTGAAATAATAAAAAAAAGGTTTTCATCACTGTTTTAGTATTGTAAATCAATTGTGCATTATATTACTTTTCTACTTTAATGTATAATAGTGTTTGTTTGTTTAAACAATTATTGAGATTAACCTATATGTGAGATAGAGTGTTAAGTTTTATAATGAGAGTCAAAAGGATAGTAGAAGGTTAATTTAAGAATTAAAACTGAGTCATATGTAACTTTCATTCAATTTTTTTATGTATTAACTTACAATCAATTCATCTATAATTGATTAATTTTGTTTTTTTTTTGTTTAAATCTTTCAACTGAACAGTTTCTTATTGACATATGTGAATCCTTTATGGATTGCCTCGATATTCCATCAAGTCACAAGCATTATTAACTGAGATGATGATGACTAGCAGTGAAATCCAGTACACGAGTTTCATTGTATTTTTGACTCTTCATCTGGATGTACCTCCATTTCAGAATTGATGTCCTCTCCGGGACTCTGAGATGCAGTTGCATCCAGATGACTGGTTTCAAATGGGATAGAACTCGCTTTTTAGATTTCATTGCTAACTAGCACAAATCTTTGCTAATAAAATCTTATGGTTTTACTCATGTTAACAAAGTGATTTATCTGCTTGTAAGAAGTTATTTATTGGAAGTATATTTTACATTGTTACTTTGTATCAAGAGTTTTGTTAATTTTAAAATCAAAATTAATTTTAAACATGTATTTTCTTTAGTTAAAAAATAATCCGAACTAACTATTTATTTGAAATAAACAAAACTATTCTACGGAATGCTTCTATAAATATATAGATTTATCTATAACTTAATTGTGAACATAGTAAATGATGCATTTATTAGTTAATGTTTGAATACCAGTTATCTACAGGATAAAAACCAAACTATTGTATTAAGTAATAGAGTGAATACATCAATTTTGAGAGAAATCTATGTGCACTAAGGAATCCATCATGAGCATTGATGCATTGAATGCAAAATAATACTATAATCATTATGACAATATTTATTCTCAATAATAGTTAATATTTAACACTAATAAAGGCTTTAAAAGGAACTTAGCTTGTATATAATGTATTCATAATCTACTGATGGTAAATTAATATTACATTTTTGATAACTCTATTGAGTTACAATGCAGATTAACCCTTATTACAGTTATGCATTTTGGTGGGTGATTAGCACAATGTTTTTCCTTAATATATATTACATTAAAAAATATAAAATTCCAGTTCATTCTGTTTGGGTATTCCAAATAGTTTTAAGTTCGTATGTATATAAATACTTGACTTCCCTTTTAATTCCTAATTTTGATAATGCATCATAAAAGATAGTATAGATTGTGAATTGGACCAAAGACTCCATTTTTTCCTAATTCATTCCGAAAACCATATCAAAATAACAGTAATTATTATAGAACAAACAATGATTTTTTTGCATTTTCAATACCTAAAGGAACATTTATTTTGTTACTTTCTAATGCTTCATTACCCAGAATAAAAATTTAACGAATTGAAAGATAAAGTCTTTTAGTAACATTATAAATACCTAGAGAGAGAGATTGTAAAGATGTAAAATCGATTGATTATATATGTTTTTAAAGTCATTTTGTTCAATGTTTAAGAGATAGTGAGTTAGATAAAGCTATTCACAATAGGCATTAATTGTTCCTCTTTGAAATTTATATCAATTCTTACCAATTATTAAAAATAAACGTAATTTGAGTAACAGTAATAAAATGTAATAGATTTAGTTACTAAACCATTTGTTTCACAATATAAAAATGTCTTAGAAGATACTTTGTATTTTACTGTTATCACATAAAAACTAATTAACCAAGTAGATGACAATCACTAGTTAAGATTTTTAGAACCTATTTCATTTATGATATTCCCTATTCATATCAGAAATATCTTTTAAAAATTATTATTTCCCTTATTCGCAACCGTGTAATTTACTTTTAGAAACCGATAATCTAGTATGTCCATCATTTAAGTAAAGTTTGAGTGGATACTTTGATTGCTCAGTTAAACTAAGTCAATTTAGTTGAAGCGAAATAAATACAGGTAGTAATCACAGTGTTATCTACCATTCTCTTATACAACAGCCAAATAAAAACAATACTTTGCCAAATTCAAAAAAAAGCATTAGGATATAAAGTAAACACATTAAATAACCAATGAGTAGAGACATATATATATCACTGTTCTTAATTCACTTATAAATAGTGGAAATGTCGAATTCTTACGAATCCCATTTAGTTATTCATACATGTTCTAGTTACTTTCAACTATGAATACAATTAGTCATGTACATTACAATGATATGTAGGTTATACAATTAAGATGTAAAGCCAATATCAAATAAACCGTGGTAAGTCAATTTACCAATAATGAGAAACTAATTGAAGTGAAATATTTCTTCTTTTAACTTGTATTCTTAATCTTTTTTTTGTAATTGTGAATATTTGGTAAGCATGAAAAAAACCCAACTTACTTGTAACTTTTTTATCTTCGTCACTTCCAAATAAAGGTAGATTTGTTCCTTGCCAACTATATTCTTGATTAGGTGTAGATAATGCCATTACGAATGAATTTATTGTCTAGAATTTTTGTTTATATGTATTTTTATTGGTAGGGATATTCAAAATGCTCTCCTAATAAAAATATGTTCTACAATGTTACACACTCAATAAAAATGATTATTACATTAAAGGAATGTTTAATATTGAAATTTTTATTTATATATTTATATCTATTTGTATAGGTGCATAATCGTTCTCAAATTAGTTACTACTTAAATAAAATGCATTCTTAACATTTGGTATTGGTTTGAATTAGTTAATCACATTGTGTATACATGTGTTAGTAGGTATGTAAGTAATATATGTGCTTAGCATATGTTATATGTAAGTAACGTGATAATTTAGATAAAATACTTAAGTGACCCAGCCTACGGATTTAGGTACTCCTATACTGTTTGCGGACCTTTGATTGACATTTACTTAAGACAATAGAGAGATTTCGTTAAATTGTAACAGGAATTTTACATTAAATAGACTTCACTAACTTACTATATATTTATATTTTTATTCACTTCTCAATGTTCATTTAGTGAGAGCATAAATATACTATGAAGTTTATCTTTGATTTTAAATAATTTCGTTCCAAACCCATTCAACGGATAAGATTTCCTGTCTTAGGCACGCTTTGAAAAATTAATAAACTCGATTTTATTGATAAATTTAGACGGAGGCACTAATACATTTGTCAAAAAAGAAAAAGAATATTTTAAAATGGACAGAACAGTTGAATAAATTCAACTACGTGTCTGTTTTTCATGAATCAATTGTACAGCCTAACTATGATGCTTGTCCCGATATATAAAGACTGGATCCTTAAATAATAATGATTTAAGAATGTTACATTTATTAGACGGTTGATAATTTCTTACCTATATTGCTTGGAAATTATTATTATTTTATTAACTGTCTTACAGATTTTCGTAAAATATTATGGACTGGCGTAAATCGTGTCAGACTTTTTTTCACTAGAAATAAAGATAGGTTAACAAAAAGTGTGCAACAATCACATTTGAACGTGATATAATTGTATGAATAAGGTAAAATTGACTTTTGAATTGGGAACACTAAATAATGCAGCTTAAAATCATGACTAATGGAGTAAATTTTTAGTTATAGAAGGGGTTTTGTGGAGATTTGGTATTTATCATAGTTGAAGGCGTGAGTCAATGAGTGGATGCGCACTGCTGAGGAGTCCCATTATAGAACGAAACGGCCGTCCAGTGTTTCCAGGTTTTCCATGGTGGTCTAGCTTCAATTGACTCACGCTTTCAACTATGATAAATTTTTAGTCACAAATAATCATCAGCTTAGCTTTACTTAATTGTAAAATTCTATATTTCAAATAAAGTAGTTTCTTTCCAGTTTTTACGTCAAAATATGAAATATGTGTATTCGATCTGATAATCTGTACATTTTCTATATTGTTTAACTTATGCAATCAGTCAGCCGGATTTATTTATGTAAAGTTGTACCTAACAGACGAATGAGATTCAAAGTGAATTTAGATTCTTATCGGAATGGGGGATTATGGAGACCGTAGTAATTTTAACAGCTGAATTCATGAGTCGATGTAAGCTAGGACACCATTGGAAACTTGGATACACTGAATGGCCATTTCATCATAGTATGGGTTTCCTCAGCAGCGCGTGCACACGATCCCGCATACGGGATCCGAACCCAGGACATTCGATCTTACGAGCCAATGATTAATTTCTAGACCACTGAGCCGGGACCTGATGGTGTTAATTTCTAACTTCAACCGATACATTATCTTGCTCAGTTGTTCATCCATTGTCTAGGTTAGGTACCTGTTTTGAGTCCATCATGCAGGATTGTGGATGCGCACTGCTGTGGAGTCTCATAAGAAGACGAAACGGTCATCCAATGTTTCCAGGTTTTCAATGGTGGTTTAGCTTAAATCGACTCATGAATTCAACTGACTTTAGATTTGTTTTTAAAAAAATCACAACTTAACTGGCACTAGATTTTAAATGGCATCAAAAGACAGGGGGCATTCGCTTTACACCATTTATTAGCTGACTCAGTGACATAGTAAAATGTACTTCGTTCAGTCATAGTTTTTTTATAGGCCTCAAAATTAAATTAAGAGGAGAAAATAAAAGACGGTCTATATCTACCTTCATAGCGCAAATGTTTTTTTCGTAACATCTTATAATTTTTTCAACCTTTTCTCATAACTGATCACATCACTGGCTTTTTTTGACGCTCTTCTAAATCAATAATTTATACCACCTAAGTAGACTTTGCTTATGTCAATTTTACTCATTATTAGTCTCCGTTGATTGAGTAACTACTCATTCTTAGCTCTTCGGGCACTAGTTACTAATAATGTTGTTAAATGTTCCTTCGCATAAAATAAATATTTACTCTATTTCTATTTAACCTCTTAAATCTACTTTCATCCTAGCCATTTCATGATGACATGTGTTCATATTCACCTCCAATTAAAATCACTTATGTTAGTAATTTGAACCCGTTTTTAACTATGATTTTTAAATATTACGAGTTGTAAACAAAATTGATGAATGTACACAAAGGATTGCGAAGATTTTTGAGTTTCATTGAAATCATGAACGAAACAATGAATTCATGTTATTCTGCTAAAATCTTTGTTCATGTTCTTGTTATATCGAGTGAGTGCGTGCCCTGTTTAATACATGAAGTCATAAGGCCGCCAATTGGAGAGCAGTGTTTTATCGATCGGATCAATAATACACGAAAACCTGGAAGCACTGGACGATCGTTTCGTCCTAGTAGGGGACTCCTCAGCAATGCGCATCCACCATCCCGACTCGCGAGATTCGAAACCAGGACCTACTAGTCTCGCGCCAGAGCGTCTATTGCTTCCAGGTTTTCCATGGTGGTCTAGCTTCAATTGACTGATGATTTTAACTATTAAAAATACTGAAATCTCCACAAAACCCCTTCTGAATGCACGAAAAACTGTATGAGCTGTCTTTATTTAAATTCATAAAGAGAACTAAGTGCATGAAATGTATGAGCTGTCTTGAGTACTTATCAGTTCTGCTTTCTGTCTAGCCCAGCCAGCTAAGTTCAGAACACCAATAACAGCCTCTGCATATGAATCATTATTCTCAAACATACTGAGTTTATATACCAACCAAACCGACCACATCATACCATAAAATAAAAAATAATATTTCTACAAGATTTAGCCAAATGTGGCTGTGAATAGTAATGGATTAGGGATAACTCAAGAATAGTAAATCGTACAATAATAGTCTCTAGGTCAAAATAAAACTTATAATAAGAGGGACACGAATATGAATAATTTAGTTACTTAATAATTATACAATAGGAAATATACCTATCATATTTGTCCATAAATAGTTCTCAAAGTTACCATTCATAAATCTCCACGGCATATAACAGTTCTTCTTAAGATGACAAATGAAACTATGTGTCTAACGAAAAATCACAATAGTATATTTACGACTTATAAGCATTGCTTTCTTATTTTAAAGTCAAGTATACTTGAGCATCTAACAGTATTTCATTGGTTTATCAAATTTAGGTAGTTAATATAACAATAATAAACGGTGAATTAACAATGATACGGTGAATCCTAAACATGTAAAAAATTCTAACACATTACAAATCATAACCATTCATTATTATTGAGGACATCTTCGATGTCTTTCAAGTTTGAATAAATCCCAAAATATGATTAATCCAAAATGAATAAAATTCATGATTTTATTTTTCGATTATCAATAATCTCAGTAGTTTCCGACTTAATCAAGTCAACAGTATGTGGATAAACTGGAGTGAGGTATAATGTACTTTATCAAAGTAGTCGAGTAGAACGACGATGTACTATTGATAAAACTATCAATATAAAAGTTAGTTAGATGACTATATCAAAGTATTAATTAGAAAGTTGATTCATGATTAAATGAAGAAAGTAATTGGAACTGAAGTATCTATATCACTTAATACGTGGTTCTTAACAGAAGTTTGTAGAAAACGTTTAATCTGTTATTTACATTAGGGATTGACTTTAACTATTCGATCAATTAAAACTGTAAATCGAGCAAATCCCGACAAACATTCTAAATTGATAATATTCAAGTATTTCTTGACCATAACTTTGAGGAAACGTTCAGAAGTTTCTGTGGGAAAACGTGATCAGAGTGATTTAACCAAATTGGACGTAAGACAGGTATAAACAAAAGCAGTGGATCCAGTTCACAGAATATTGGGAACAGTCTGGAGTTGGAAATCCGAATAGCTGAATGCTAGTCCAGTGTTGTGGAAATGAGAAGCCAACAGTGAATCCTGAAGTCATATTTTCAATCCCTAGTGAGATTTCAGATCACCACTATGATTCCCGTACTAGGAAGAATCAGCTGTTCAATGTATCCTGTTTTCTGACCCTTGTTTAGTCTTTGATTTAAACTACAAGTTATATATTTGTTACAATAATTTTAAATAACTGACTGAGCTAAAGTCGATCAAAATTTATTTATTTACTAGTAAAATCAATCAAAACGATCATGACGGTAATAAGCAATAAACATAGTAAATCTGAGTGTTTTGATGACTTTTTTGAGTTAGTAACAAACAATAAATGAGTGCACATTTGTCGATTATTTTAAATGACTCATTATTCCTTCTCATATTTACATGACGTAGAGTTGTACTTTGAATAATTAAGTATCATTATCTGTTAAATTCACTTGGATTTACTCTGGGACACAAATTTAAAGCTTTTTCTATTTTCCTCTAATGTATATGGTTTGGTATATACGTTAATATGGGTTAGCTCCGTCTGACGGTATTTGTGAATACCTACTTTTCCAGTTTAGTGAAATTCATAATTTTATTATCTTACTAAAACTCTGAACCTTATATATATATACGACCAACAAATATAATTCACGATATTAAAATAGCTTAAACATTTATATCAACGACATTTGAGAATCAACGTAATATAATCACCCCTGCAACTTGACAGTTGCATCTGACAAATTTGCCGATTAATAATTCTTGAAATTTACTCAACAATTATTAGAGAACAAATAGATAGTAACCTTTATTTCAATACCCTACCACTTCTTACAGTCATCCGACAAAATATAAACTTTATCGCTTACAGAATTATGCCAACTTTAGGGGAGGCATAGTTATATGGAAGCTAAAGAGAAACCAATCCATGCAACATCGAATTTCTGTGACTGAAACATTTAACCAATAAATTTTGACGAATAATATTTGATAGTTAA